ACTATGCTGCTACCCTTCTGTCTTTACCTTTGCCCAGTTATGGCAGTCATACTTCCATACACTTGTATTACAGAATTCTACATCAATACGATGCCTGAACTGTCCACTGTGGCTTGTCAGATGATTGAGGAATTAGCTGCCAGGAAATTTCTAACTGTACCAATTAGAAAAAGGCCTTAACATCCCCCCCTCCCCAACCCCTAAAGCTGCATCAGTTCCTATCCAATTTATACTTACAATTACCTCTGCAATCAGACAGCAACTTACGTATCAAAACCAACTGTTATCTACTCATGACTGTGTATTCCCTGCATGTGCAATTACAATGTATACTCTCTAAGCGAACAAGTCTTCGGCTAAGGTCTTGCATAGGAATATGGCTGTAACCACAAAGATTTCAGTCTTCTGGGATGTGACACCATGTAGTCTGGTAGAATGTTACCAACATTTCTGACGAATTTGAGGCCTCCATCTTCAGGGTCTTATCACTTTATGTGCTCCTCCAAAATTGTGGTAACATTCTACCAGCCTACAAGGCCTCACGTCTAAGAAGACAAACAGTTTTTCAAGTTACCAGGTGTTTAGAAAAGCCCACTGTCAATTAATCCAAACTGCCACATGCTCATACTGTATGCAGATATGAGAGCCACAGTTTACAGGACGAGTTTCAGGAAAGAGACATCATTGGCTGTACTTTATTCGATAAAAATTAGCAAAAGAGAGGTAAGGTGCAAGCTTACACAGTCCATTTTACACATCAACAAAAACTTTACCAAATGTTTGTAACTTCTAATACTTCTGTAAGACATATATGAAAGTGATTTAGACCAATGGAAGTGGAAGCTGATATAATGCTTTAGACAGGTTTCATTATGGAACTCCCATATCACACTCCATCTAAATGCATGTTGCCTGTGAGAACTGCAACATACAATGGGAATATAGACACAGTTCTGTCACATAAAATGCTAAATTTTCTGAGCCACGAATATCAGCTTTGTCAAGCTATCATTACACGCACCAGCAGGGGGTGTTTTCTTTGATTCAAAGCTACATTTTCACACACATGTTAATTACATATTTTCTGAATGCATAAAGCGTTTAGGCGTTATTCGCTCCATTACCTACAGGTTTTCCTCCCTTGAGTGTCTGTATGTACTATACTTTACTTTAGTCAGGTCCAAGTTGGAATATGCCTCAGTAGTTTGGAACTCCATCACCTCGACTGATGCCAATAAGCTTGAGCACATCCAGCAGAAGTTTGTGTCTGTCTGTTTTTATCGTTTTTTCCCTCATATTCCATATACTTATACTGATGCTTTAGAGAAATTAAGTCTACAATCTTTACATAAACAGAGACATCACCTTGATGCACTTTTTTTTGTTCAGGTTTTTGTCTTAAATCCTGTGCTTCTCTTTTGGAAAATGTTAGCCTTCGTGTTCCTCCCAGTAATCTTTCGGACTTCTCATTGTTTGGTGTTTGTCCCTCTAATAAAAACTGTCCTCCTGCTCGGTGTGCCTATGTTGCCAACACGGTGGGTAGATATCTCAACATATTTGCAATCGGAACATTTTCTGTTAATCACATTGAACCTAAAATTGTTAATAATATTTGATAATACTCCTAATATGTATTATGTGTGTGTATGTACGTAAAATTTAATTTAAATTCGCTTAGTGGGGGGTCCAACTCAACACGGCGGCCACTAATTATGCTACTGTAGCCTGCCTTGGGTGATTATGATGATGGAGAATTTGGTAGCATGGAGACGCAGGGGAAACCGAAGTACTTGGAGAAAACCGCCCCAGTGCCACTTTGTTCACCACAAATCCCACTTGACCAGACCCAGGATCGAACCCAGGCTGCTGTAGTGGAAAGCCAGCGACTAACCGCCTGGGTTATGGCGCGGTTTGTGTATGTATGTATATTCGTCTTGTTTTATTTTTCTCTCCTGTTAACTTTAATTTTTCTTGGAATTATTATCAATTTATTGCTATTATGTAGAGTCTCAATTTTGATTTGGTTTTTAATTATTTTTGTGTATTTCTATGTACTCATGCTAACCTTTCAGTTGGCTTCTATGCTGTTAAGTTTGCACGTAAATAAACATGAACTGAATTATTATTATTACGATGTTGAGCTGCCACACGAATAAATAAAAATTAATTGGGTTATTGTTATTATTATTAACTTCTATGTGTGTATGTATGTGTATTGTCCTTTCTCACCACAGAATGGAATAACCATTCAAAATGTACTTATTTTATTTTTCTACCCTGTTAATGCTAACTTTATTTTTTCTTGGAATTATTATTAATTTATTGCCATTATACAGACTGTCTTATTTTGTATTTTGTGTATTTATATGTATGTGTGCCAACTTTGTAATTGGCCTCTGTGCTGTTATGCTTGCACGCAAATAAACACAAACTGAATTATTATTATTATTATTATTACTACACAAGATGGCATAACCATTGGAAATTTACATATTCAATTTTTTTTCTCCTGTCAATGCTAACTTTATAGTTTTTCTTGTAATTATTATTAATTTATTGCCCTTGTATAGAGAGTCATATTTTGTTCTTTAATTATTTTTGTGTATTTCTATGTACTCAGGCTAACTTTGTAATTGGCCTCTGTGCCATTAAGTATGTGCATAAATAAACATGAATTAAGTTGAATTATTAATTACATTAATTGCATTAATGTGTCTTTGCTCCAGTGCTTACATCTAATTAGTCTTTGACTTTATGTTGTGTTTGTCCATATGCAATTAATTTGATTTGTTTCACTCTGGTCCATCACACTAACAATTACCAAGACAAAAACAACACCATCCAGTGTGACTATTTAAGTTTTATCATTTGAAAACTCATCACCCTTATATGTTTCGATGCCTACGGATCATCCTCAGAGGGCATCAATACTTTTTCCGGAAACTACTATTACAGTTGGTGTTAAATTATATACATACATAATGTCTGAAATACACAATGTACACAATGTTAACCTTTCACAGTCACAGCAGCCTTCCTGGTATTAAAAATTTTAAGTTTTTTAAAAACTTTAAACTGTGACTGTGAAAGGTTGAACACTGTGTACATTGTGTATTTCAGACATNCGATGTCTGACAACCCTAGAGGCCTCCACAGCCTGTTACAGGGATAAGTTTACTTCTAAAGTTCTTTCCTTTATAAGGAGAAACAGAACTACTATGGATTGGTGATTACTCCTTACAATATCCACCAGTTTTGAATATACAAACAAGTTTACACATTATCAGATTTTAATCTTTCACAATGTTGAAAATCTTATTCTGGTCTCCTGAGTTATGACACTGTGTTGCCTGGTAGATGGTTACCAGAGAACATACTGTCCCTGGCTTCAACAGACCAGCAGAAAACTTTGGTAACCATGTCATAAGCCAGAAGACCATGAAGGAATTTTACATAAAAACTGATATCAGGCATAATGTTACATTGCAGCATCCTGTTGCACTGCTTAGTTCTGACTTTGCATTTTGCTTTGATGCCATCTGTGTGCAACGTCAGTTAACATTCTTTCACAGTTTTCTCTTTGTTTTCACTACATGTTTCGGCCTAACTGCCCATCTTCAGGTGTACAGGTTGTGAAGAAGGAACCTGCTGCTTGCTGTAATGCTGTTTTGTTTCTGTTACATGGAGGCCTCAGATTGGCTCTGGTTATGTGGGTTAACCATCTGTTGTTTATTTAGGTGTCCTTGAGCTGGGCATGTTTGTTGTGCTGTGGTTGATCATCAACACAACAAATTCCTTCCCCAACAAGAACATTCAAGACAGCCACAGCCAAACAAAACCATGAAGAAAACACCAGCAGCTCAAGGACATCTAAATAAAAAACAGATGACTAACCCACATAACCAGATACAGTCAAAGGCCTCCACGTAACAGGAACAAAACAGCATTACAGTAAGCAGCAGATTCTGCAATCACAACAACCTGTACACCTGAAGATGGCTTGTTGGGCTGAAACATGTAGTGGCAATAAAGAAAAGCAAGTGAATATTACTCAATGCTGAACATCGAAGGCATCAAAGGAACACACAAAGTCGGATGATATCACGTGCATGTGTTATCCTCCTGAAGCAAATACAGTACAGTAAAGCAAGAGAGGCAGTTTGTTGGACAAATAAGTATCAGTCTGACATGGTCACACACATCAAACTGACAGTTCTTCCTGTAATACTGTAATATTATCTTCCTGTCATGTTTCGGTCTTGACATGCATAGATTTTCACTTCTGTCTTGACTTGCACAGATTTTTACTTCAGTTCTGACATGCATAGATTTTCACTTCATTCTTGACATGCGCAGATTTTCACTTCAGTCCTGATATGCACAGATTCTGGTGGCATAGCCGCAAGAGAAAAGGCAGCCTGAAAGAGCCATGAATGGAAGATAGGAAAGCATAATGGACGTCAGAGAAATGTTGTAATATGATCGTTATGACTGTACAGCAATAACTACTTCATCTTATGGCAGACAAGTCACTTGAGGTCTCGTGCTAGTAGGTCACAGGCCTGAAACAATTACATGAATAGCATTAAAAAAGAGATTCTGATTTGCATGTGATTCTGTATGTACGATTTCAAATGTTATGCACTTTTAATTTCAACAGAATGTAAAACTTCTATGTGGCTTGTAATGACACAAAAAATTTATGGTTACATAATATTCCTGCATGATAATACTTGGCACCCCCCACCTCCACCCCCAGAAATATGTTTACTGGTATTATCATATTCAGTTTTTGCCTCAAGATTGAAAAATACAATTCAATGGTAAATATGTGAGACTTTTGACAAATCTGTCAATACAGATCAAGTATCTGCTGGTATACATACTGGCCTAAAGAAAAGGTACTAATAATACCCATACACTAAGTAAATTTTGTTTAAAGATATCTCCATATTAGAACACTGTAAATATATATAAAAGTAAAGACTTCAGCTCCTTAAAAATGGGAAATTAATTTCCATTCCCTTACAAATGAAAGCCATGCAATACTGCACTACTTATATATAAAAAGTTTCATGGAAGAACTCATGCTTATTTTCCATTTCCAAACTCCTGTCCAACCAAAATTCCCAGGCAGTAATTATATAATTTTGTACTCTACATTTCACTTACTACAGGCAGAACACCATGATATCCATAGCCACATTTGTATTTTCACTGCTTCACACACTTTGATGTCGGTACAGCTTTTATAAAATGCAATTATCTATATTAGATTATTAGCAGGGACAAAATATTGGTTCTAGAGGAACTGGAAACAAAACGGAACAAGAATATTCAAGCACAATAATAAATGTCAAGAACAATCAGCTTATAAAATGAAAATCCTGATCTTCCCCAGAACTTGAGTCATGTATCAGTTCCATCATTACAAGAACAGTGTTAACATTCTCCTCAACAATAAAATATGGCTACAAACCACTCAAAAGACTATGCAAGGCATGGAGAATTGATGGGAGTCAACATAAACTTTCATACTGCAAAATTATTTGCAAAGAAAGTAACTGAAACAGTGAAGCTTCATTACTTACAGTTCACTATGACCAAGCTGATACTTACCAACAAAGAACAGTGTTTAACACAAAATTTGTATCTACTTTTAAACTCTCCTACAACACCAAATTTCATGAGCCAAATACAATACAATAGTACTGAATAATACAAGTCATAAGAACGCTTATCGCTCAGTTCATTTATTATTTTTACAGTGTAGGTGAGTATTTTATTTGTTAGAAAAGAGTTTTAGTCAGTCTAAATTATATATACCAAGAATAAATTAGCCTCATAGTGTTGGATAATATAAGTCATGAGAATGCTTACTGCTCAGTTCAATTCTCTCTCCAGGAAATAACACTTCGTGACTGCTTCTGGGAATTATCTGCCTAGTACCATCTTAAAGAAGATTCAAGACCACAGAAACTGCCTTCAAGATTGCTAAATTATTATAGTCATTTATTATTATATTGTCATATTGAATTGAATGGCCGCGCCACAGCTTAAGCAGTTAGTCGCTGGCTTCCCACCGCTGCGATCTAGTCATGTGGGATTTGTGATGGACAAAGTGGCGCTGGGGCAGGTTTTCCCCGAGTACTTCGGTTTCCCCTGCCAATCCTCATTCCATCAAATCTCCATAGGCATTACCACCAGTAAAGGTACAATAGGACATATGGAGGATTTAAGACCACAGAAACTGTTTTCAAGACTAATTATACTGTCATATTATTATCTCTGTATTACTATATTATTATTATTATTATTATTTATTATAATTTGGCATACTATTTCTGTATTATTATATTCTTATTACTATTTAGTATTAGTATTAATATTAATCTTTGACTTGTCCCATATCATGTATAATGATTCATGGATGAAATAAAACTGAATTGAATTGAACTCNACGCGTATACTTGACAAATATTTTTCATCGTACATCTTCGTGAATATATAAATTTGAATCATATAGACTCATATTAGAGGTGCCGCTGCAGTTCTGCATTTGGGTTATGGTTGAACGTGTCGGTACGTCAGCTCCTTTAGGTGGTTCACAAACGTAAGCCCGTCACTGTAATCGAAAAAAATTAACAAACTCACAGTTAGTATGCTGTGAGATGAAACAGATATGTCATTTGATGACAAAGTTATAGATGAAGAAAGCAGTCTTCTGGGATTTGGCACCGTGTATATAACCACATATACACGGTGCCAAATCCCAGAAGACTGCTTTCTTCATCTATAACTTTGTCATCAAATGACATATCTGTTTCATCTCACAGCATACTAACTGTGAGTTTGTTAATTTTTTTCGATTACAGTGACGGGCTTACGTTTGTGAACCACCTAAAGGAGCTGACGTACCGACACGTTCAACCATAACCCAAATGCAGAACTGCAGCGGCACCTCTAATATGAGTCTATATGATTCAAATTTATATATTCACGAAGATGTACGATGAAAAATATTTGTCAAGTATACGCGTCTCCTGCTTACTGAACAAATTTATATCAAATCATCACAGCATACACAGAAAGCTTTTACATTACAAACATCTAACGCCACACTACCTCAACGTACGTAAATATTACCGAATATTACTAATTAATTAAAATCCTGTAATCTTAACTGAATTCAACAAAACCAAGCTCCTTCCGGGCCCTTCCCAACTGACACAAATGTCAAGCGAATCGAAAGTAATTCTAACAACATACGTTGCCATACATAGCACTTCCCACCACATTACACCTTTGCTGTTTGAAATGAACTGTGTTGTCATTGGCCCAAATTCTCCAACGCATACAGCGATTATGAATGGTCGAGATGATCACATGGTTTGGCTATTGGCCTTTCGTTACCTTCGTGACATCTGTCGTCGGGATTATGACACTATCTGCAGATGGAGGCAGGTTTTGAACTGCTTTTATATATTGCTAAGATACATTAGATCTCAGCTGACTAGCCTGGATAGCTACGCTGTTTTCAAGCTAGTTGTCATGTGCAGCAATGACCAGGCTAGGTTATTCTTCAGGAATATATATGCTTGTTCCACAGCTATTAATCTAGCCACTTCAAGTCCCTGTCAGAACCTAAATTCTATGATAATTAGACTGTTCTTGGGCTGGATAAATTTTGGCTTGCTTGCTGTGGGTGAGGGATGGGAGTAATGGGCTATTTAAGCCTGGAAACATGGGAAAATTAGGCTTTTCTCTTGCCTTAGCTAGGGCTCCTGCTAGTCTAGGCAAGGCTCATGGTGGCTGAATGTCCTGACTGTACAGTTCAGGGCAGGATCAAGTCAGACTGAATATCTCACACTAATGCTAGCTAGTCTAGGCTCAGGCTATATAACTGAGGTGGGGTATCTTTCTAGGTTAAGGACTATGGAAAACTTGGATAGGCTGTACTGGTAAAGAAAAGAAAAAGAAAGGTAAAGCTATCCCATTAACAGGCTGTGTAGGCCCGTAGTGTTGTGAGTCTTCAAGGCTCTCGCATTTTGTAGAGAAGAATCAGCAACCATCTTTATTATATCTCTGCAGTCTTAACTTATAAAATATGGGCAGAAGAGAGGAAAAGGAATGTGTTTCAAATGTATATTGTATGGGCACATCTGGTATCAAAAGAAACTTTTATTCAATATGAAAATAAAATTTATTTTTCTGAAAAATCCTACTCTTGAAGCAGCTGTATATTCACATTTTACAAAACTGCAGAAAACATAAGATGGCAGTTTTTCCTGGATTTCATCATTGTGAACAAAGCAATATTCATTTTTGTTACAACATGAAACAGTTTGAGAAGTACAAACTAATAGGATTCTTCAGCAGTTTTACAGTAACATTCCTTCTCTAACAAGCAACACTACTCAAAGTGTCAGTCAGTATCCATTTCACTTTCCAAATGAATTTCACATGAGTGTGAACAAATTTGTTCATATTCATGTACTCCAGAACAAAGAGGAAGATATGCCACTTTCTAATGTAATAAGAGCTTCAGAGAGTTTGCAAATTAAACAAAGAATTACAAATCTTACAAATTCTTATGAGAGGCCTCTTTCGACTACAGTAATGCAGCCAGGGAATGACACAAACAGCTTACCTCAACCCAGTAAAAAATGCTAAATCTCTTTTCCCATGTTAATTTGTGTTGTGCCACTTTTCTGGCACATCTCAGCGAATCACTGATTCATTCATTTATTATATATGAATCAGTGTATCACTGATGTAAATAGAGCTGTTTATACACAGCCACGNACACGATGCCAAATCCCAGAAGACTGCTTTCTTCTTGATTTATATGTTTTCATTTATACTGAAGACGAATCTATCCTATTAATTAGTACAGTAAACCACATTTACTTGGCATGTATAGAGAATGGGGTCTGCCAGTTACATTATTCTGCTGTTTCCACGAGAAAAGTTCTTGCAGAAACCCAATTTATAATCAAAATATCATGTCCTTTCTTTAGTTCTTGCATGGACTATTCCCATACAATACTGCAGATTGACAAATGAAAGATTTTAAATTCACAAGATCACAAATTCAACTAGTCTCTGCTGAAATGGCATCTGCATAATGGGTAGTGCTGCTAGTGGAAGCTGGGAGGACTATTGTATAGTGAGTGAAAATACTCATAATTTTTTAATTACTTTATAATTTTCTTAGAATTTTTTGCCAGCTGAATGAAAATCCTGGATGCATGGACACCAGATAAATAGCAATTTACTGTTTTGTAAATTTGTAACTGCAACTCAGATGGCATACCTGCTTCCTTCTATGGACCTACAGTAATATTTTCATTCTGGTACATATTCACAATGTACACTCCCCTTTTACTGTCACATATCACGGAGAGGCAGAAATCAGCACACAGTTCTGGCATCTTAAGAAGAACAGTTCTCTACAGTTCCTCATAACAAATTGGCACAGGCAAGATGGTACAGCCGTAAAATAATGCCCTATCTTGAAATTAAGATCTCTGTGTCACAGATGGATGATCTTCACGACAATGCAGGATCCATGAATCTTCTAAACGCTGTTACCTCCTGCTATCTGATATTAGTCTTCTCTTGATGAGGTTCCAAATAAATTGGAGTGACATTCGATGGTTTAAATTTTCTGAAATAAATAATATTCTCTGTATTAACAAATCACGCATAACTAATAAAAATAACTGTCATGCTTGTTCATATATTCATTCTTATAACCCCTGAACATAAAATATCAGAGTCAGAAACAAGCATCGATGTAGTCCTAAAAGTAAAGTGCTTTGGCACCCTGGCACACAGCTCCAAATTGAAATAAATGGACAGGAATCCTGATTCAAGGCAGTTCTTGTTATTTGCATAATGCTAACTTTGCTCTTTTAATTACAGAAACCTTTAAAACACTGATCATGAAAACTGTGTCTTTTAAAGAGGCTGAGAATTTGATCTCAGGGGTAGAGATCAAAAATGAAATAATGTAAAAGGGTTTTTACGTTTAAAGACTGTAAAACCTTCAATAAAAATACATTTGAAATGATCCTTTCAAGAATTTTCATGAATACAGAACTGCATTATTGAAGCAAAATTGTAATCTGTGAGGAACGAATGAAAGAAGTGTAGATTTTAATAACAAGTATTGAAGTTTGACAACACTGTCCACAATAGAAATGTTGGAGATGCGCCCCAGCACCCAAACAGCAACAGGGCACCACCCAGGACCACCCTGCTTTAACTGCAAACCTAAAAACAAGGTATAATTTTGGAACCAACTTATATCAAACTATGCAATCTGAGACGCATGGGATAGTGAATACTGCAGTCTTTTGGTATGTGATGGTCTGTAGCTTGTTAAATACCAATAATGACAGAAGAACCTACTGACTGTCATCATAAACTGCCCAAAAAACAGGGGCACTAAAGTTCATTTAAAGAGATGGTAAACAGTGTCCAAATCATCTCCGACCATACATCATACCTTGGGTAGGCAACCTTATGAAGAAAATGAGATCTCCAATAACATGATTCAGGTTCCAACTGTGTGTTGAAAAAAGAAACTAGTTAACTTCTGATGACAATGTAACAATCTACATTAGGATATGATGAGGACCGTCAAAAGGATTGATCATTTCACCGAGACTTGTATTAGCACTACAGTATTCATATTTGTGTTTCTAGAAGTCTTACTTATGAATACTCTGAGTACAGCACTCCTATGATAAGCATTTCACTGCCCTTCACTACTCTTGTGATAACCCCGAACATCAAGGTCCCAGATCCTGAAGCACTGAAACAATTTGCAGAATAATGTTATGTGAGTACTCTATGAAGCCCAATGAAACATCAACATAGGATGACTGAATACAGAGCAAAATCTCACTCAAGAAAGAAACTGCTACGCATGCTCACTATGTTCTGCTTTGTTGCAAATACCTAATTTCAATAACTTGATACAGTATATATGTAATGGGGTACTAAAAGTGGTAGGATAAGTAAGCACTATGAGGTGCTGCTCTCTAGAGGAACATTATGACCATTATGCATCAGAGGAGGTAGGGTGAAGAGGAGGAGGTTGGTGGAAGTAGGGGAAAGAAGAGGTATGAAGAAGTGGCATGACGAAGAGCATGAAGTGGTAGAAGTCAGGAGAATGGGAAGGTTGGAAGTGAGTGAGGAGGAAATATGGGGTGGAGGAGGTAGGGTGACAAGGAGGAAGAGGGTGGGAAAGAAAGCAGGAAGAGGAGACATGTTTGGAGGCAGAAGAAAGAGAGAGGAGGGTTATCTCTCTCTACCAACAGCACAGCATGTCTGGAAGGTGAATAAAATGAAATGAAATGAACTCATGCATTTCATTATGAAATCCTTGGGTTTTTAGCTCAGGATATTTTTTCAGTAAATGCCCTGTTTTTTAACTATTAAGGGAGGCTTTGTTTTTCATTTGAACTGTTTAGTTCATACAAACAAAAGTACCCATTCATGGTACAGGATATAGTAACTTTCCTTGTCAATGTCACAATATATAGCAGCCAAAATTATGCAGAAGGGATAACAGTCCAATAACACAAACATATGAACACTTCATATCTTAATAAAGCATACTCATCAGATTTAAACCTGGGTATGAGGATAACAATTTTATCCAAAACTTCATTCACCCTTGCACATTGCTTTAATATTTGTAGCCATTCAACATACTGGCACAAATGCAGGGTACATTTCTTAATAGCTTTGGGTGTTATGCATTGGATTTGTTATAAGAAACAGACAAGAAAGTTACAATTTTATCTGTTACAGTAATGAACTGGATGGGAGATCCTAAGAAACAATTCAGATTTAATAACAAATTTAATACAGTAAACATGTCATTCACCTAGATTTCAATGTGCTACATGAAAAGTTTTGGGTCAATGATAATCTTACACGGGGGTCTTACTGTACCATCAGAAAAACAGAATTTCATATAACTGTTGTGTGGACTAAATTTTTAAAGTCTTAACAGTGTTCTGGTTAAGATGAACTGAGGTATTCCTTTACACATGAATGTCTATATCTTTTGCTTCATATTAACTAAAATGCTTTCTTACACAGTGACAAAAATTATGAATATTCCATAAATTATAAAGGAATGTCAACTAAATTAAGAATAATATGCATTACCTGTCAACATGTTTAAGCTTCACATCTGGCAAGGTATTGAAAGAATGTTTCTTGAAGTAGACGTCTTGGAAGTAGGAATTAATGTTCAGACCCGAAGCACCGAAATGGTACGTCCGAGGGACGTCTGGAATCACACACTCTCTGCCTTTCCGAACCTCAGGTAGCCGCATCCACATATCCCAGTCCCACATCTGTACATGTAACACAAAACATAATTCTTATACTGGCATTATGATCAAGAAAGTTATTTGATCCCAAAAATGTAATCCATGTAACTGAGATAAAATTATAGCAATATATAAAAGCTTCCCCTCGTTGGTGTCTCCACCTTATTGTGGTGAGGGGGTTTGAGTATGCCAAGGACCCTGAGAGCTATACCAGTGGTAGCATAGCTACTGGCAGGGCCTCCCTTGCTGGACAGGTCAAAGGGTAGACATCAGACGAAGAGAGACACCAAAAACCAAAAACTGATGCCGAAAGCAGCGTCGTCAGTAGCGACTTGAAGCACAGAGCAAATGATGCTTGAGATGATTCAAGTTCGTATAGCAACAGGCGTGACCAGAGTGGTTTGAACGGCTGCTGTACTGCGATGTGGAAAGCAAATGGAAAAACTACCATATTATCACTTTTCCTGGATAGTCTCTTTCCTAAAACAGAGATACCATGTATGTGAGATGTTTCCTCTGGAGACAAAACAATCTGGAGGTAAACTACTCCCCCAATCGGAACTCTGGGGGGGAGTGTTTCTAGAGGAAATGTCATGCAGACGTTACAACAAGAAAAAGTGCGAAGATCAGAAGGAACATCATGGATACAAGATTGGAACATGGTACAGAAGAATCGAAAGGAAAATAGAGGATACACTTGGAGAAGATCAGTTTGGATTTAGAAGAGGAAAAGGAACCAGGGATGCAATTGGGATGATGAGAATTATAGCAGAACGAACTTTGGAGATAGATGAAGAACTGTGTGTTTGCTTCATAGACTGGCAGAAGGCATTT